GAGTCACATGTGACTCGTCATGGTGACTATTTGGATGACTGAGGTGTGGGAAGGAAGGGCTAGGGTTTTGCCCACGTTTCTTTTATGGGTATATTGGTAATAGAGAGGTCCTTCCCCGAGACAAGGCCAGAGCTGGTTTGGCAAGGATGGTTCCATAGCTAAGCAGGTTCACCATTATCTGTGTTTTATGTGGGTCTAGGAGTTTAACTGCGGCTTGTCGAGAAAACCTTGCCCTGGACAAAGGTGTTTAAAACTGACAAGAAAGTGGTTCTGCCGGGGAAGTCACTCTTCCCATTTCTGTGCAATGGCCATTAATATAAATCAGTGGTCACCTCAAAGACACATTCAATATGCTCTGAGCATTGCAGCTGTCTCCGCCTCCCCTTCATCTTACAACTGATCCTGTTTAGGTGTGTATCCACCCCACACCAGGTAGGATCATCCTTGATCCAGTCAGTGCCTCTCAACTTTGAATTCAAATAAACCAGGGAGCTGCTTGTACAGCTCAGGACCCATACTCTAAGCAAGATGCATGCATGCGTGTGCATGTGTGTGTGTATTCATGTGTGTGAATGAGGGTTCACCTACGAATACCATGGTGCACATGTGAAGGTCACAGGACAACCTGGGCATTAGTCCTTGCTTTCCACCTTGTTTGAGACAGAGTCACTTGGTTTTTTTGCTACCTACACCAGGCTAGCTGGTCTGTGGGTTTCAGGGAGTCTCCATCTCTCGCTTATCTCCTCATAGGAATTCTAGGATTGCTATATCATGTTTCTCATGGATTCTGGGTTCAAGGGTTTCCCAGGTCATTGCTCTTGTGTGGCAAGCATTTTTACCCAACAAGCCATCTTCCCAGCTCCCGAGTAAAACTTTTAATTTAATTTTCTTACAGACACACATATAAATGTCACTATCTTCACCACTTTAAAGTGGGATCAAGTTCGACACCGTTATGTAACCATCCCTACCATGCACCTTCAGAACTTTTCTTAGACTAAAATTGATCTTCTATGCTCAAGAAATAATTTCTATGCCCCCATACCCAGTTCCAGGCAACAACTATCATGGACTTTTGTGCCTCTTAAAATGAACCTTGGAGTTCTCCAGGTAATTGGAATCATACAATATTGCCCTTCTGTTACTCGCTTCTTTCACCTAACGCAATGCCTCTGACACTTAGGATGCAGCATGAATCAAAACTCCCTGCTTATGTAAAGCTGAATAATATTCAACTATAGGTATAGACTATATTTTGTTTATCCATTCATTTCCCAGTAGACACAGACTGCATCTACATTCTTTTTTTTTTTTTCTTTATGTATCGTGACAAATGCTGCTATGGCTGTGGGCATATGTCCAGAGGTATTTTTAAGATTTCCATGGGATTATGGAGGGACCCAGGAGGTTCAAAGTCTCTGGAGGGATTATTGGCTGTGAATGGTTGCTGGTGGAGCAGGAGTCGGTTTCTTCAGTGGTGTAGCCACTGGTCAGTTGTCCAATGCTCGAGTAGATAACCTTCTACCTTGGACGAGGGGCTCTAATTAGATTTAGAGCAAAACACATAAAGAATACACGAAAATCAGTGGGGGGCTTCTTGGGGACAAGCAGGGTTCCAGTTGGAGGGAGTAAGGGGGGGGATAGAGGTGAAAACAACTAAAATGTGCCATCCATGTGTGTGAAGTTGTCAGAGAATAAAGAAGGAAGGGTTCTCATAGGGTGGAAGAAGCAGCAAGAGTGGAGGTATTGTCCGTGTTGCTTCCTATAGATTGTTTCGAGGGGTCCTGGAAAGAGACCATATTATTTTAGTTGACTCTGTCCAGCTGTGCCTTGCTAATTATAGCATATGTGCCAAGTTATCACCAGTGTGTATATCTGCCTCCTTCAGGAGACTCGGAGACCCAGGAGCGTGGGTGGGTTTGCTCCCCTCAAGATTCCTCATCCCTAGATCTTGTTCCCAGCCTGACGCCCATCAGAACCGCTGCTGAAGAAAGACCCACAGTAACCTATAATTTCCCACCATCCCACTCGGCAAACTATTCCTTCTGCTGCCGGGGTGTCATGACTCAGGGCGCCGAGAGCTCCGCTCTAGTGCTGCAGCCTGACGCACTCTGGGCCGGAGTCAAGGTCTTCTGGGAGGCAGCAGAAAGCCAGTGGGGCCCAACAGTGGGAGAAGACCAGGGAAGAACAGGAGTTGCATTGGTCCCTCACTCCAGTCTCTTCTGGAGATCTCCTTCCCAAAGAATGGCTGCAACCCACTCCTTGCATCTAAATGAGAGGCCCAATCAATCTTCCCGCAAATATCTGCTTCTCCGTCTCCAAAAGCCACTTAAAAAGAAAAGAGGGGAAAAAAAAGTAACTGTGCCTCACTAAAGTGGATTTGTGTGTTTTCTCTCTGTGTGTCTGGGGCGCCGCATTCCTGTGTTTTCTTTGGTTTTAATTTTAACCTGAGATCCATTTTTTTTTTTTCAAAATGGAAACCTATGGAAATTAAAAAAAAAAAAAAGTAGCACCAGATAAAAGAAATGCCAAAACACCCAGGAGAGGCCTGTGTGGTACCACACTGAGGTCTAGGCAGGGATTTGCAGAGAACGTCTTTGTCATGTGGAGAAGCACTGTGGCGAATTGAGAATGCTCTGCTCCCCTCCCCTCCATCGCAGAGGCCAGAAGACGCAGCGTGCGCGTGCGCGCTGGGACAGAGAGGAGCAGGGACGGTAGGTGGAAGAACACTGACTCTTAACAGCTTCTTTGGTATTTCTCACATCTGGGCTCTCTTTCACTTAAACAGTAAACTGCTTGGGGGCCGGATTAGTGGGGTGGGGGGTGGGGCAGATGCCTTCATTTATACCTTCCCTTGTTTACTGTGGAAACTGCTGTGTTGATTTTAACTTTAAAGTACCGCATTAAAACAGTCTCCCGTAGCCCAGGATGGTCTCAGACTTGCTATGGAACTGAAGACGACCCTGAACTCCCGATTTTTCTGCCTCTACCTTCCATGTGCTGGGACGGCAGTTGTGTACCGCCATGCCCACGTTTATTCAGTACTGGTGATGGAACAAGGGCTTAGCGCATGCCAGGCAAGCATTTCACTCTTTGAGCCTCATCCCAGCCTCCTACCTGTTTAATTTTACGCCTTCCCTGCCTCCCCTGATGCTTCCAGTTGCTCTCATGTGCCCCCCCCCTTTACATTCTCCCATGATGATCCATCCTTCCACTGTGACAGGATAACTCACTCCTGGCTCCAGGAAGAAACTCAATAAGATGGCCTTCCTTGACCAGGCCTTTGGCTAATGTCACCTTGCAGTTTCACAGTTGAGATGAATACAACAATCAGAGGCTCATTTCTTTTTAAAGGTGTCTTTCTTATACAGAGTGGAATGGGAAATGGTGCCCCAGTAGCAAACCAAGGCTACACATCGATGCTCTGCCGCTCTGTGGCTGGATGAGCATTCGGCCCTGAATACGTGCGGACATTTTACCAAACTAACTGTGGTATCCCTGGAATTAGTAATATAGTAGAAGGGTGGGTCGACTTCTAAATGAACATGGAAACTCTCTGATTCCAACACCCTCTCTAACCTAGAAAAAGAAAGGAAGCTATGACTTCAACCCTTGTGACTAGCGGAGGACAATTGGGACCCTTGTCAACTCACTGAGGACCTATGTGAGACCAGTGAGAACTCTCTCGTATCCTGGAGCTTGGGCACTTGCTCTGCCGTGGTTGCTGTATCTGTGGTAAACCAACCTGATAAGAAACTGCCTGAGTCCTGGCTGCCCACGGACTGTCTTCAATGTCTGAATCTAGCGCCATACTGTGGCTTGAATATGGAATATCCGCCATCAGCTCAGTGCTTAAATACTTAGTCTCCGGCTAGTGCCGCTATTTTCCAAAGTTATGGAGCCTCTTAGAAGATGGGGTCTGGGTTGCTGAAGAGAGATCCATAAGGGTTGTAGTCCGAACCTGTTTCTTGTCCAACCTCTCTTGGTATGACTCTTGGTATGCTGGGGTGGAGTGGGGTGGAGGGGTCCCATCCACACACCTCTGCCTTCATGAATCCCCTGTCTCCCCTGCTACAGTGGAATGTGCTCTTTCAAATCATGCGGCTAAAGAAATACTTCATTCCTTCAGTTATTTCAGTAAGATACTCTGTCTTACTGAAAGTGACAACTTCCAGTAACTAATATATTTTACCCAGGTGGCATTATTTTAATACGTTTTGTTTTGTTTCCAAACAGAAGCTCATGTACCCCAGGCCTGCCTGGAACTCACTATGTATCTACGACTAACCTCAAGTTCCTCTCTCGGTCACCCAAGTGCTGAGATTGTAGGTGTGTTCTGCCAAGTCTGGTTTTATCTTACCTCTTCTTTCCTAGTCTGCTTTCCCTTCCCTTCCTCCCCTTCCCTCTTTCTGAGACTTTCCATAATGGTTGATTGATTATTGATTTTGCAATACTAGGGTGAATGTGTCTTGTTGGCATGGCCAAGTCAGGGACCCCAATGCCTTAGACCCATGGAAACTGCAAAGTCTTCTGCTGATGTTGACAGTGTATGTAGAAACAAGAAACTACAGCTCCCCAACCCCACCTAATGAAACTGCTCCCTTCCAGAGACCTCCCACGGAGACTAATTCCTCCTCCATGTGGGCACAGGATAAATGTGCTGAGTGTAGTAAGGGCCTCCATCAGGGCGAGCATAGCTCACCTGATCCCAGCTTTCTCTAGGGTTGTCTGTCATTTCAGAGTCTTTCATTTCTTCATTCCCCCATTGCCCCATCTAACAAGCCCTGCAGGAAACTGCAAGCTCCAGCCCCCTTTTTACTTTTCACTCGGAGATAGCACTCCTCCGTTCCATAGACCTTGGGATCCTCCTGGCTCAGATGCCTGAGTAGCTGGGATTCTAGCTATACACCCATGAACTAAGCTTAAGTAAGCCGCTTAAGAACACACAGACATTCAGACCAGATGTTGTTCAGTCACGAGGCCTGTCACCACAGCCTTACCAGGACCGTGTGCATCCCAGTGTAGAGTCTGCTGAGACACACCAATGTGGAGAACACCACAGCCATCGTCAGGCCCAAAACAAAAGGGTACTGTGGAGGAAAAGAGAAAATAAGATTAGATCATGTTCAGATGAATGCTTCTATCTATCATCTATCTATCTATCTATCTATCTATCTATCTATCTATCTATCTATC